AAATGTCCTTGCCAATAATTCTGCCTTTTCCTAAATGTATAGGCTATAACTACACTGTAATTGATCTGGATCTTCTCCCATGTTAAGTCTTTCATATCTCCACATCCTCTTCCTCCGCAGTAACAACATTTAATAGTAGGCCGACTGTTAAAAAAAAAAGTCAGTGGTCCTAATCCTCTTTCGTACATTTTGATCTAAAGGCTTGTGCTTAAAAGCTTGACATGTGTTTCTTAATAAATAGAAATAGTGAAGTTGATGCCTACGTATGTATGCATTTCTTTTCTAAACAAAAATTAAATTAAATGTTTTTTAGTTCTATTGTTTTTATTTATTATTTCATAGTTTTTGTATTAATCTAAAATGTGGAAAATAGTTAGAATAAAGAAAACCCCTTCCATTAGTATGTGTTCCCTAGAGACAGCTTACAGTAGTTATATTATCATAATATACTGTTCTGTATTATTGATAATAATATATTACTATTATGGCCAAACTTTTGACTGGTAGTGTATATATATGAATAAAGGAAGAACAAAATGATGTGGAGTTCTCAGGGATTCTTTTTTTATTCAAAAATTAGGTTTACAAAAACATGAAATGGTTATATGATCACAGGATATCAATTATGAGTATAACTTCACCTTTAATGAGCCCACACATTTAAGCGCTAAGGGCCCATTTATTCAAGTTCCCTTTGGAGAGACAATTCAACTGTATTGATTTCTCCTACAGATAACTGTCTAGTCTTCATAGAAAGATGGGCATCCTCAGCTGAGATCCACAGACTGCCCCAGGTCTTTCTCGGAGCTACACCAAAATGATCAAAACGAGTAAAAAAGTCTTTCTGTTGCATGTAGTGGTATTTATTCCTCTGAGCAGAGAATGAAGGCGTTCCAGTGGGTTTCAGAACCCGCCCACAATTTCTTCTGCTGTTGTACTTTCAATGATGTGTGTGTGTGTGTGTGTGTGTGTGTGTGTGTGAGAATAAGTTTAAATACATATTCATGAGCATGTGCAGACAGACTCACACGAGTTTCCCTGCACCTGTCACAAGAGTCTTTCTCCTTTCCTAGTCTAAAAAAAGAGAGTTTATTCCTTTTAGATTTACAAGCGGATGACCATGTTGACACTAACAGTCTCCCTCCTATCCAAGGAGAAGATGCTGCATGAGCGGCCTCTGTTCTCATAAATGTATTAAGTTATGTCAATTTGAATGTTTTTTTGTTTTTTTTTCTCCACCACCGAATGTCATAGTAATTGTTAGTCATATTAAAAAGTAGTCTGCAATATCAACCAACTTTTTTTCCACACATCAATTGCTTTTTCAAAGATGAATTGCGGCTTATACCAGGGGTTCACAAAGAGGGGGTCGGGAAACACGGAGGGGTACACTGTGAGGGGGGTTGCAAGATGCCTTCCAAAAACAAATTCAATTTGAAAATGAATCTGGCTCAGCAAAAGGTTAAAAAAAAATACATCATTCCCGAGAATAAAAGTGGCACCGAAAGTTGCTTAATGTCATAATAATTACATACATTCATCAAGTCTTCAGTTTAACAACGTTTGATCCTGAACAGTAATCTTTAAGCAAAGTGCAATTATCATTTCTTTGTTGGATCATACATTAAATTAATATCAAATCTTATTGCTCAAGTTGCTAAAAAAAAGAAAAAAGGCCAATCATACCTGAAGACTACTGTATTACACAATTTTTTCCTTCCTTTTCCATGTTTTCATTCTCTTCATCAGGGGGAATTTCCATTTCCGTTTGTTTTTGTTTCTTCATCTCCATCTCCATCTCCATCTTCAGCTCACTCTCCAACTCCGGATGAAATGGCGTTTCCAGGATAGCTTTGTTTTTCTCTGATTTCTGCAGACCTTCTATCAGGGAGTCGTAGATTTTCTGCCAGGCGTCGATCTCTGAGCGCCACAGTGCCGCTCTGGCTCTGATGAACTGTGAGGCTTCGGTCTCGCTGCCTTTGGACAGACTGATGCTGTCTTTACAGATGAAGAAGACATCCATGCCGAGAAAAAAAGCATTCAGCCCGATGAGACCGGCTCTGGCGGACTTGGTGAGGGCCAGAGGCCCTTTGATTGCTGCCTGTCCGATATCTGGGATGTCTGCGGCCACCTTTGGCACGTTCCGTAAAGCTTGACCTTCCTCAGCCAACACCTTACCAGCACTTACAACCAGCTCCTCATTTTTTAACATTTTAAAAGCAGAGGCAGTATCAACAAGTGAATCAACACCTCTTGCAATGAAACCACCTTTGACAAGCACCTGCTCACTCCCAAGGCTACATCTACCTGACTTGCTTCCATTCTGGCGACAGTTTGATGCTGACTTTCTTCAGACAATCCTGGAGACTCTGCAAATCCTTCATGAGCCCCTCGAAGACCTCAGTGGCTTTCTTTTGTTGTGTACTGTTTACTCCTAACTCTGTCGCCGTAGTGACAAGGCCATTGACCCCGCTGGTGACACTAAGCCCTATCCCAGTCATGGTAAGACCCAGAGACACTCCAGCTGTTACAGGAATCAATGCTAAACCAATGATGGAAAGCACGCCTCCAACCGCCCCCACTGAGCTGCCCACCACACTGGAGATCTTTGCCCCCTTATTCATGGAGTCGAACTGAACAGCAATCTCCTCCAGTCCATCTAGAGACTGCAGCAGGCGAGGTTGACAATCTCTGAACTCGTCGAGGAAGCCAGAGCAGTCATGAAACAAGTACACCAAAGAGAAGTGCTGGTTCATCCTGATGAAGAGAGAAAACAGGAAATGAATAAAAGGATATTTAACAAAATAATTCACAACTGTAACTGAGGTCCTAACTCCTTGAACTCTTTAAAGTTCCTGTGAAGAGTCACACTGGCATTCTGTACCGTGCCCAAGCACGCTTCACCTCTAAAGTCCAGTTTGTTTGACCAGTGTGACCGCTCCATGCCGTGCTCAAGCACGGTACACTTACTTGGCCATGGCACGCTTTGGAGAGGTGTGCTTTGGCACGGTACAGTTCATGCACGATCATAAGCAACGTTAACAGCAAAATATCACAACGGCAATATACTGTCAAACTGAAGCGAGGGGTACAGTTATCTAACTGAAGGTGCACAATGTTGATATTAAAATGTTTTAATTAAGTAGCTTTAAATAAAGACGACTTCATTACTCATCATGGTGGTATTTAAGACATAAATAAGGGAAACATGAACAGTTTAGCTGACCAAAGAAGTTGACAGTGGGCTACAACAGCGTTGAAAAGATGAAGCCTGATATGAGGTTAACGTAACACCAAACTGCAGTGAATAAATACATTAATCCTGCATTTTACCTTTGAAGGCTCATTTTGTCATCTCCAATTAGTTAGATATCATCATGGATAATTTTATGATTTTCTTACAATTTATCAATTATTGCAGAATCGCTGTGTCATGATATCAACGTTGTCTTGGGCCACCTATTGTGTATCCTGAGTATACCCTGACTGTATTACTTAAATGACCAGAATGCATACATATGGAATGATGCTGCTAACCTGATGTCATCCAGCTGATTGATGTGATAGAGCATCCTCTCCATGTCGTCTTCTGATAAATCCAAATCCAGGTCTACTGCAGATTTCTTGATCATGTTCAGGTCGAAGTCACTGAAAGTGCTTTTAAAGACACAGTTATATTTACTCACTGAAACCGACTTCTATTTAGAAATAAGTTAAGATTTTCTTTTCAGGAATGACGGTTTACCTTTTCTCCAACAGTCCACAGATCCTCTGGGTGGTCTGGATGTATTTGTCCAGCTGATACGCTAGCACTTCCACATTCTGCAGTTTGGGCTGGAAGAAGACCATTTCATCTCTTTTAAACTCAACGAGCAGAGGGCAGACCAGCCGTGCAGCAGCGATCACCACCTGAACATGATCGAGGCCGACCCCCTCTGGCAGGTGTAACACCACCTGCCTCCCCTCCACGAACACATGAAGTGAGGTGACTGCCAGCTTCTCTACCGCATCCAGGAAACAGTGGAGCTTCTCCAGTTCCATCAGAGTGTCCTTCAGCACAGCAGCCAGCTCCTTCTCCAGCTCTTCCAACCTGCTCTTTGCGGTCACCTGTGTCACCTTGCTCTTCATGTACTCAAGAAAGGCTTCTCCTTTATTCTCTGACTGGCTAACATGGCTGATGTTTAGGTCGATGCCGTCAGCCCTGTCCTTGATGTCCATCATCATGTTTAACTCTGACTCCCTCCCTAGCATCCATTTAGGGACCCTCTCACAGAATCCTCTCACCGTGTGGATGTGGATGAGGGTGTCTGCAGTGTAGCGCAACAAGGCCTTCTGGAGCTCCTTTCTGTATGAAAATAAATGGAAACCAATCAACCCAGTGTAGTCTAGTTTTTTTCCATGCATAACTTTTCTCAGGGCTTTTGTTTCGGTTTTAATTGCAGTTGTACAAGATGTCCACTAGATGTCGCCAAAGCGCATAAAAAAGTCAGTGACAAAACTGTTCTCGCTGTTAAATGACTTCAAAGTTTCAGAAGACATTATTCATGCTCTAATAAGGCAGCATTTGGATATTGTAAAGCTATCAGTTGATTCAATTAAATCAGAAATAAAACCAAGTTTATTTACATTAAGTTACATAATTAAAAGCTGAAATTTAGGACATGGTCTCCCACTGTTTGTCGTCCTGAATAGTAACCTACAACATAAATTAGGACCTTTAAGTCAGTGTGAAAAACAAACTCAAAAGGATCACGTACTGTAGGCTAGATGCATGTTGTGCACTGGGGGTTAAAAGAACAATAACATGTTGCATCATTCTCGTCTGATCAACTTCACAACATTTTAAAAACAAAATTGATTGCGTATTCAACATTTAAAGAAACACACAAAAATCAAACACTTGAAGGCAGCTCGTTGTATCTCAACGTACAGTTTTCTTTTATGCTTGCGATGGCATGTATTTATAATTTCCTGTGCAACAGTAATAACAGCTGCAGGGTTCCTTACCTTGACGGGACATCCTGTTGCCTCTCTTTATGCTGCTGTCTTCTGTAACTTTACTGGGCTCTCTTCATATTATCTGCGTGGCTAAAATGAAAATAGAGACTAGAGATCACACTTTATATTGAAAAGCTCCGTAGAAAAAAACTTCACCTGACGCCCCTGTGTTTGGTTTCGTTTTCCTTTCTCCACGTCACGAGCTGGAGTCACACCCACGTATGCCTACATTCATAAGTGTTTGTTCATAGCTCGATGGTCCAGTAAGTTCAGTTTTCATCATTCATGTGTCATTGTTTTCATAGTTCTTCCCTACACAAGATGTCAATACAAATGGTTTATGACTTTCTGCTGAACTTGAATCGTTGCCTGGTTTGTATTTGGGGACAATTAATGACTCTTTCCACTGGGAGGGTAAACATCCCTCTTCCCTATTGTATCATGTAAATAATATTTATTTGCCCTTATCACTTGATTTGTTTAGCAAACAGTCACTGACCTGGTCTCCCATGTTGTCCACATTTGTGTTTCCCTTTACAAGCAATGGCTGTGGGTTATGTCCATATAGGCTATTTGGCAGTTGTTGCATCTTATTGACTGCGGTCAAGCCAGCCGCTCCTCGAGTTTACATGGTGAAGTGAGCCGCCCCTAAATCTGAAGTGCTCACGTATTCTGATCTTTATGGTAAATGCTCCGGACTGCAGAGCGAGCAGGAGGAACAGACAGAGAGAGCGAGTCCGTTATTAATCTCCTTTTTTCTTTTTTCTTTTTGAAAGTGCTAAATGCCGAAGTCTTACCATAAAACTGGCTATGAGATACACTTGTATGAAACGGGAGTAAACCGATTACTGTACAGGGAATAGCTTCGCAGAATAATTCTGCGAGTCTGCGGTAACTTCCGTTTTTCAAAATAAGGTGTTCACAATTTAAAAAAAAAACGTTTTCTTGGAGAAAAAAATAATTATATATATTTTCTTACATAAGTACACAATGATTCTGATATGGTTGGACTAAGTACTTATTAGACTACATGCACAGGTAATATAAAGTACTTTTACTGTGTACTTTTTGAGAAATCCACTGTCAAAGTCCGTAATAAATCACTATAGAGAGTATTTTTTCTGACTTTGATGTCTTGTAAAAATAAATTCATCCATAAGTAGAAAATGATTCTGATATGGTTGGGCGTAGTACTTCCTAGACTACATGCACAAGTAATATAAAGTAATTTTACTGTGTACTTTTTGAGAAATCCATTGTGAAAGTCCCTTATAAATCACTATAGAGAGTCTTTTTTTATGACTTTGATGTTAAATTCTTAAGTTACCGCAGACTCGCGGAATTATTCTCACACTAACTTCCCCGACCTCCGAAGCTATTCCCTGTACTGCATTCTGTTTACTCCCGTTTCATACACGTGTATCTCATAGCCAGTTTTATGGTAAGACTTCGGCATTTAGCACTTCACTTCGTCGCTGTCTCTGTCTGTTCCTCCTGCTCGCTCTGCAGTCCGGAGCATTTACCATAAAGATCAGAATACGTGAGCACTTCATATTTAGGGGCGGCTCACTTCACCAGGTAAACTGGAGGAGCGGCTGGCTTGACCGCAGTTCTCATTGGGGGAGGGAATGCACCTTATCACTGAACTGCAGCAGGACTCTATGTCGAGTTTCTCCCTGTTTCCAAAGGCCTGCAGCCGCCTGATTTACTGTCACTGGTCCTCCTTTCAAAACTTTCTGCAGCTCTTGCACATTTTCATTGAGGGGAATACCTGTCCTAAGTCCCCTCACCACACTCCTCTTACCAACAACCCCACTCCAATAATCTCTGTTTTTACGCAGAGACTCCAACTGCATTGCTTTGTTTTGCTGTTGCGCACTTTCGCAACAGCGACATACTGTTAGAGCAAGCCTGTAGATGCATACAATATAGTATACAATGAAGCATCCTGACCAAAGTGGAATTCAAACCCAGTCACAGTTCAGGTTATGCAAAAAACAACAACAACAACAACCCCACTCTCACGCTTTGTTTACTCACTTTTATCGGCGTTCAACTTCCCCTCTTTTCTATAACCAAGCCTTGTTTTCAGAGCCTCTTCCTGATGCTGCTTTTAAAGACAATTGGAAAGTATGCGACATTTGATAACTCTGACAAAAACTCAAACAAACTAAAAAACAAGTTTAGATAACGGTTCCTGGAGACTAATAAAACATTTTGGGAGGCACAATATGAATATATATCACCTGTATTGCACCTGTATATCTCACCTTCTACTGCTTCCATGTTTGGGTTGGAACAAGAACACGCGCACATTTGTGTTCTCGCGAGATTTACGGCGTTGTCACCTGCTCGTAACTGGAACGTCCAAGAAAAACAATGGAAGTTTTTTGAACATTTCCAATAACATTCAGCACTTTGCAGAATTCATTAGGTAAACAATCTTTTGAGTGAAACATTTAGTTTTTTTAAGAGTTTGCCTTACTTTACATAGCAGACCTAATCCAACACAAAGCCTAAACTCCTGTTAAAAGGTACATTTTATTATCACACGTTTGTTGTGTACATATTAAACAAACAACATAGTGTGTTTTAAAGCCAAGCTAGCCCTCTCCCTTTGTCCACAGTGTTAGGATAGGCTAACGGACTGCTGGTTTTAGCCTCATAGTCCTTTCTAACAGACACAGCTGAGTATCAATATTCTGCTTTAATTTCCACTAGATAGTAAGGGAGAGTATTTATTAATATTTCTGTAGTACTGTAGTTCTGTCTGTCAGCTCAGTACACAGGACAGCCCTTGTTGTGTCACCACTTTACACTCATGATTCACTCTCAAACTCCCACTTGGACTTGCATAAAGACTCCATTCAGTTCAGCTGATACCCATGTGACCACCAAGACTATTGCTGCATTCATGTGGTGTCGGACACATCAGATTAAACAGTTTAATGTTTCTTTTGTATTGTACTTTTTTACTGTACATTTGTCTGGACTTTAGCAGCATGGTGCTGGGTTTGGACTGTGTGTGTGTTTGTCTGTGTGTGTGTGTGTGTGTGTGGGGGGGGGGGGGGCATGTCAAAACGCTCACTCAGCTGCACTCAGATCAGTGCAGACAGTCAGGGATCAGGGTGGAAAGGCTGCTGACATGGCAGTGTACTCACACGCAAGACAACACAGCAGAACATGCAACGGGACACACAGTGACAAAACGGGAACGAAATAAAGTGACTCGGTAAAACATGGTAGAACGCACAGAACAGCAGATCACTATGACACGACAAGAAAGTGATTGAACACACTGCAGGTAATGCAACAGAACACACCAGAACACATAATAGCACATTATAGAGGAGGGAAAAGAATTGACTTAGGTAAAAATTTGAGATTCTTATCAGGGGGAGATTTTAAATAGATTCATAAATTCCAAAAGTCGTTTTTTGTTTTTGGCTACTCAGTCACTCCCCGCTAAGTGACAAGGCCAGCTCTTTAACTCAGTAGGAAGCCAACCACACAGAAGAACTAACAACAGACCACACAGTTACTCTTGTAGAATACATATTTAAAACAGACCACACAGCAGAACATGCTGGAATGGAGTGAAACAGAATCAGGAAGCTGGTCGTGTGTTAAATGAACACTGTCAAAGACACTTCATAGATTGTGGACAACGCTACATGTAATTGTTCATTTTCACAGTATCAGTGCGGGAGTTAAAAAGAACATACTTGTGAGTAGATTCTTTTTGTGCATGAAGCTCGCAGGTTGTAAACGTCATCAGCCCCGCCCACTTGCTCGTGGTGAATTTGTCTGAATATTTGTTGCCTCGGTCACAGATTGGCTCGCCACGACTTCTTGCGGCTATTCTACTAGAGGCTGACTGGAAATAGTCTGGGTAAAAAGTAAAAATCAGCTGTTTGTGTTCGCACATGCAGCGAGAAAGTAGAATTGAAAGAGACATGGTCCAACTCTAAGATTATGACAAGTACAAAATAGTTCCTGGCTTAAAACTTAAAGCATAAACAGTTTCTGTATCTTTGGAGACAAACACCAAATCCAACCCTTCTAACTATCTGTTTTTGATCTAATTTGCCTTCCTGGAGGGGAGAAACGTTTGAACCCTGTTGACCTGAGACCCATGGGTGCATCCTCCTCCAGAGACTTCCTTTAATCAGGTTTAATTACTGAGGATAGAAATGTTCAAAGTGCAACCACCTTTAATAGAGCCTCCCTTCTTTTCCCATCCCTCTCCCTTTCTTATACTCCAGAGGACAATTTACTGGAAATCTCTCCCTAAGCCAAAAGCTCTAGTGGCGCTCTAACAAGGCCTCAATTAGGACCGGATTTGCTGCTTTCTAAGCTAATGTCAGATTGGCATAAAGAGTCCGCGTGGGACCAAGGTGGATGCTGTCCTGGGACCTGATGTCCGCCTGTCAGGAATAATTTTGTAATGAAATTGAAGAGTGTCCCAAATCCTAGCAGGGATGGCAAAATCAGGGGAGGTCTTTGGTCCAACCTCCTCATTAATACTGCGCTTCTTTTTGACACATTACACTTTCAGTTTGCTCAGCCAGGGATTCTGAAACACAGCGCTTTGTTTTTCCGCCAACTTCTTGAAGTAAGCTAAGCAAATGCTAAGCTGCTACTTGTGGATTTCTTGTTGTAGCTTGTCTAATTTAAACTGAGATGCTCATCAATACTTTTGGTTTGGATTTCACTATTGTGCGACCAGGCAGTGTCCTTCCAACACTAAATTCTGTATACTTATAATGATAATAATAATACATCAGATTTATATAGCGCTTTTCTTAATACTCAAAGATGCTTTGACAGGAAACAACAAAAAACAAAGCATGACTTATGAATGCTGCAGTCAGCACAACAACAGTTACATTGTACTGTTTGTTGATGACTCTGTTGTATTCGTTCTCCTCAATGTTGATGATTTATTGCCATGTTTATGTTCTTTAAATATGCAATTTTGACCTTGTATTTGTACAACTACATTTTACGCCAATCAAGGACATAGGAGTACTGATGTGGGCATCGACCATCATCCTGTTTTTCCTAAACACTTTCATCAAGGGACAGGTGGTAACCTTTTTTAGAAAACTACAATAACCTCTGGATTTAAATTCTTTCAAAGCAACTATAGGCTAATCATTGGTTTTGATGAAGACAATGCAAGAAAACTTCCCTGTAGCTTTGGGAAAACAAACTCAATTTCTTCAAAAAAATGTATGTTAGTCCAGAACTTGAGTTATAACTTGACACTTGAGTTTGGCCCATCCATCCACCTCAAAATCCGGCCTGCCAGTTTTCTCATCATTGATATTATGTCACCTGATTCTTTCCTTTGTCCCATTGTAGTTACAATGTAAGCATGTTAGTTTCATCATCAAGCATACCAGGAAACACGAGGACAAGCAGTTTACGTTTGAGGTTAATGCACTTAAAACTACTTCCTAAGTTTGAAAATAAAAAAAAATCATATTGCTAAAATTACATAAGTATGTTGGCAGCTTCCTTGGCAGTAAAGGAATTTGAATTCCAGCTTGAGACATAAGTCTTGTCTTTGATGTGTCCATCCATCCAAACATCTTGCCTCTCCAATTTTTAGTCAAGTATTTGTATTAGGGCTCGACTAATGTGGGATTTTTTGGCCGGTATCAATATTGGGGACAGAAAAAAATCTGATACTGATATATCGGCCGATATCTTTGCTCGATCTATATAGATAGATATAGATATGCACATTTGTTGCTTCGATCACTCAAATGCAATTATCAAACACTTGTGGAAATATATATATAACGTAGACAGGATGGCCACTCAACTGGAAAGTAATTGCGCATGTATGTGCGTCATTACTTGACACTCTGAAGGGTGATAATGCTTGTTGTTATCCATATAGCGCCCTCTGCAGGTGACAGCCAGACAAAGAACTGCCAGTGTGATACCATACTCAAATGAAATGCAATTTGACTGGTCAATAAATGTAGCTATATCTGCGATAGAATTAGTCGATACTGATAGTCACTTGATATGCTAATATCGGCTGATATTATCAGCTGGACGATAAATCGGTCGAGCTCTAATTTATATTATGTCACCCGACATGACACTTTTGTTACCATTATAATAAGGTAGTAAAATAGTGAGTATTTCTACTAGAAATGGTGGTGCCAACCTGGCCCCCCCCCACCCCCAATAATTTTTTCCCTGTTTTTGTTTATTTACTTTCACTTCCTGCAGCCAGCAATCTCTAATACACGCCAACATGCAGCAACTCAGCGATAAATGCTGCAGTAAGAGCAGCAGAAAGCAGCCTGTCCAAACAAGTCTCTGAGTGATATCGTCAAAGTATCTGACATGTGGCCCTGAGGCCCGAGAGAAACATGATGATGACTTTTTCACAAGGAGATGACCAACCTGCACAGGCTTCCTCTCTCTGACGTTGACGGTTACATGAGCAGCTCAACCCAACACTCGTCATCAGTCGCAAAAAAAACAAAAACTCAAACTGTTCATGACGCACAGACATAGTAAGTGTAGATTACGATTCTGGAGAAGTCAAACTTTGTATGTAGTTATTTCACAAAGTAAGACATTCAGTTTTGTCTACAATGGAGGCACTTGTTTATTGCTTACATGAGTCAACATAACTCTGTTTATTTCATTCAGTAGTTGAAAGATTGATGTTAAAAATATGGAGTTACTTAAGAAAATTCAGATAAAGTTTTCCTGCATGTCAGATTCATGCAGTAAATGCAGTTGTGTATTTTCCATAAAGAAGTTTGTCATCGTTATTTAACAAAACATCAGTGTCAGCCTTAAAAATTCACCTCAGCCCATTATTCACCTCAGTGCACTGGAGCTTCAGGTTTACTCATAAAACTATGTTTAAGTTGCCTAAAAGACCAGCACCGGCTTTCAAAGATGTCATATACGTATATATATAAATATTGTAAAAAATCGTTAATGTCAAATCTCAGAATGAACCTTCCTCTCTCAGCTGATGTATAAAAAGAGAAAATAATTCTTCACTTCAACATTGAAAATAAACATTAATTGCAAAATAAATAACATACATTTCCAACACACTAAAATTGCAGATAATCAAGAGTATTTAAATCATTGAAAACACAGTTGAGATAAAAGAAAAAAAAAGAATTGTCAGGTGGAGGTTATTTCTGTAGTAGATGGACAATGATGAAATCGTGAAACAGACTGTGGATCATCTTAGATTTATTCAGGCATGGTCAGACAACACAGAAACACAACAAACATGGCTGACAAAGTGCAGACCATCGCTGACCCATGCTGACCAAGATCTCACAATCATT